TACGTTTTCAAAAAAAAAAAAAGTTAGATTTAGTGAAAGAATGATTTAATACAGAATCTCATAACTGTATGCCTTACTAAAAAGATTTTTTTTTCTTTGTGTGTAAAGTGAAGAATTATAATTTAAATATATAAAAAATAATAGTAACAAACTTGCGATCAAAAAATGCTCCCAAAGATTGTATGGTTATAATAAAGAATGCTAATTTCAGATTGAAATCAAGATATGACAATTGATTGCGATCAATTTCAAAATGAAAAAATACAGCTAATAGTAGCATGAAATGTACCAAACAATATATCTTTTTCCAGTGCGAAATTTTTGGATTGTAGCGAATTATTTCATTTTCAATCTAAATTAATTGATTTAGATTTAATCAAAGTAAAATTAGATTAGAAAATATTGAAAATTCATAAAGCGACCAATGATTTATTGTTCACTCGTTTATCATAAATCAAGTTAAATGAAAAATTTAAAAAAAAAAAAAAATGATGTTTTAGGAAATTGAAATGAATTAAATTCACCAATGGAATGCCTTCTTCATGGTCAACCATTGTAAACCAATGAAAGTATCGTTTCACTTTCATTTTAGGCATATATATTGGTGGATAATAAATAGCTTTCAATTTTTCAATTCCTCGAAATATCCATTCGCCATTTTCTGTTTTCATTCTCCATTTGATAAATAGTAAATTATATAAGGTATGAAACTGGAAAATTTATTTCGATTTATTATTTGAGCAATCATTAAATGAGTTTTGTGCCATACCACCACCGAGTAGTGAAAAAGTTTCACGGAATAAGAACGTGATACATATCACCACTGAGTAGTGACAGAGTTTTACGGACTAAAAACGTAATACCATTGAATAGTGAAAAAGTTTACAAAATTTACGAGAGTCATATTTAAGATTTTATGCAAAATATGATGAAGAAAAAAAAACACATAACTTTCAAAATTTTTTAAAAAATTTAGATTATAAAATTTTTAAATATTTCCAAGGTTATATTTCATTTACAAGCATAAGTTTATAATCACATTTTAATTCTATTTTAGAACATATTTTGTAATAATTTTAAAAATATACATGTAAAAGAAGACCTGAAGATAAATCTGATTGAATGTCATTTCTTGATTAATAATCCCGTAAACCGGTTTTTCAGATTGACGTTCCGGCTCAAATGTACCAAATATTTTATCCCATATGATGAATACAGCTGCATAATTACGATCAATGCAGTAAGGATTACGACCATGATGAACACGATGATGTGATGGCGTATTGAGGATAATTCCTAGCTTACCATAATTATCAAATAACTACAATTATTATTCGATATTTAAGAAGGTATTTAAATCTATTCAATTTCATTAATTACGCATATAAATTTTAATAGTTAAAAATTTATTTCGAATTTAATAATTACTCCTAAAATATTTTCATATAGTTCAAAATGTAGAATGTTTTTACGTTACGTTTGCTACGTTACGTCAATATAAGTTAATGAAAAGTGTATCTTCACAGATTAAAAAAAAAAAAAACCAAAAAAGTGCACTATTATTTGTTAACCATTTGTTTTTTTTTTAATTTTATTCATCATTTGTTTTTTTTTTTTTTTTTTTAATGATAAAATTTTCTTTTAATGATTTTTTTTTTTTTTGATGAATCAAATTTTCATATGTTTTTTTGTAAAAAGAAAAATTATTTATTATTAAAAATTAAATTAAAAGTGAAACCAATACAGTGGTATGTAAGGTAAATTGATAAATTTCGCTGAAATATCGATGAACTAAAAATATTGATGGTGGAATGAAAAATGCTTGAAGAACATCATAAATAGCAAGTCCAATATCTGAAAGAAAAGAAAAAAAAAGCGGAATATTAATAAAGTTTAGATAATTTTAATATTTATTGAAAAAATTTTAAATTTTAAAATCAATTAAAAAAAATTGTTTATTAAATATAAGTGATTAGTTTTGCTTTAACATTGATGCATTTTCTTGTTGTTTTTGTTGTTTAATTATTAACCTTGAATAGCAGCTTGTCGAAGAGCTGTTGTATAGTTAAAATATTCCGAACTATGATGTATAACATGAAATCCCCAAAGAAATCCAATCTGTAGAAAAAGAAAAAACTTTGAAATAAAATTTAGAAAATATTATTTTAAATGCTAATATATAATAGTTTAAAGAAAATTAAAAATTAAAATGAATATAAATTGAAAAATACATATCATGAATAGCACGATGTCCAAGATAATACATAAAATCCTGAAAAAATAAGCAAAAAATCCATGTTAACGGTGAGTTCCATGAATTTTCAATTAATCGAAAATTATTCCAAATATAATCATAAAGAAATATTGCAATTGTTCGACCACCAAATCTATCAAATTTAATGAAAATTTTTAAATAATTCTCATTATGAGTTGCTCTTTTTTTTTTTTTTTTTGTTTCTGGTACATATTAAATACATTATCAATTATTTCAATTAATTTATCTATTATCAGTTGCTATTTTAACACTAATTTGAATTTGATTTAATTTCAATTTTTAGGGAAACCATAACTTTGTTTTTTTTTTTTTTTTTAACGATGAGTCTCTAAGAAATTATTCAGTTTAACAAATATAAGTTTATTGAATTTAATTTTAAATCATTTGAAAGACTTAATCGATAATATCATTTAATATAATTAGCCTAAAATCAAATCTCGCAGCATCTACTTTATTAGAAAATGAAAATATTAGCATAATTATTTGAATATGAAATGAAATAATTTTTGTTTTTTCTCAAAAATTCTTCTATCCAGCTAAATTGAGATAAGTTTTCTATTCAGTTAGGATAAGATAAGCTTTAACTTTCAAATTGACAATCAGCTTGTTTATTTCCAGCCTAAAATGTCCTTCAATAAATTGTAATCTTTTAATAATACTACTTTCATTAAATTTTATTCCTTTTTTAATTTTCAAAATAAAAATATATTCAAATATATATTATCAATTTAAATCAAATATGAATTCAAATTTTACAAATGTGCTACACTCTGATCTGTTTTTTTCTTCTTTTTTATGTAAAAAGGGATACTATCAAATTGAAATAATTAAGCAAAAAGACACTTTTTGTAAAATATTCAAATAATGTAAACAGAGAGAGAGAGAGAGAGAGAGAGAAATCCTTTTGATAAACTTTAGAATTAGAAATAGCAAATAATTTAAATAATGATTAAAATAATTAATGAAGTAATCATAATTAAAAAGCATTTCATCTCCAATTAATTACATTTCTTTATTGATTAATCCAATTTCTTTTTGTTTTCTTTTTTCTTTTTTTTTTTTTTAAGAAATACGAGAGAAATTTTACTTGAAACACTGTGAGAGAATACCAGCAGAAATTGATGTAACAGAATCGTTGAGCGCAAATCGATTGACATTTCCGCTTAACCATAACAAACAAAATTCACATATGATAAATAATAACCACCAAAGACTAACCTATATATTTATAATAAGAACTTTTGTTTTTTTTTTCAATATCAAATTTGAAAATTTTTTTTAATAAAATGATGCATAAACATTGAATTAAATTTTATTAAAACTATTACTGACCTATTTCAATACTTAATGATGCTAACGATGCTAATCTAAAATTTAATCTAAATAATCAATCAACTTGGCTAATTTATTAAATAAGCTGATAAATTTGCTGATAAAATAAATATAAATAAGTAATCAAAAAAAAAATATCTTTGAAAATTTCTAAAATTTTATTGTAAATGCAACAATAAAAATAATAATTATTTATATGAAGAAAGTATGAAAATAATAATAAATCATTCATTGTTAGTATATACATATAAATGAAGCTATAATTTCTAATAAAAAAAATATTTCAAATAAATTTATAACTAAATTAAAGTTTTGCTAATAATAATTGAATTAATAAAAAAAAAAGAAGAAGAGGGAATAATTAAATGAAATTACCTGTAAAGTATAATTAGGTACTTCATCTACACTTTCAAACATTGTTTCATTTGGTGTAATTAAATAATATGTATATCGAAGATTATTTAAATTAATTTGATTAAGCATACGTTGACCCAATGAAGTATTCGTAAATATATCTTCCAATGATAACCATTTTTTTGTATTATTTCTTGACAACATTGCTAATAATATTAGTAAATTAGCAATAAACTATATAGAATAGAATAATTAATTTTTTATAGTAAATAAAGAATATTTCTAAAATTCCTAAAATGCTTTAATTAAATTAATTTATTTTATTTGCTTAATATTAGCAATATTAATGATAACTAACAAATAGAATTTTTATTTAACTTAAATAAATCATTTATTCATTATTTTTTTTTTTTTATAAAATTATTATATTTGCTATGCATATATGTGAATGTTTATTTGAAGATTTATTGAATATTCGTTGCAACTGCGAAATTGTAGTAAATTAAGAATATGAAAAGAAATTCCTAAAATATTTTAATTAAAATAAAGTTAAGAATGAGAAAAGAGAAATTGCCCCACTACAATTACTTAATTTGATGATAAATTACTTAATTGATTAATTGATAATTATCATTCTAGAAATGATCTAAGCTATTCTATTCAGTTATTCAATTAATTTTTTTTTTAATTTTTTTATTTTTTCTACTAAGTTTGGTGACAATGTAAACATATGTAAAAGTATATTATTAATCACGGAATATTATATGAAATTGGTAAAATTAACAAAGTAAGAATGTTTGCTTTAATTAAAAGGAAATTTTGATTAGAATAAAAATCGAAGTGAATAAAATTTGAAAAAATTAAATCTAATGAAAGTGAAAAAATAGAAAGTGATAGCATTTTTTTTTCTTAATTTTATTTTAAATAAATAAGTGTTAATTTTTGTTAATATTTCAATGGAAGCTAAAAATTTGACAAATATCAAAGAACAAAGAAGAAATAGCAAAAATTATGTATATATTTTGTATAATGAAAAACATCAAAATATAACATTCTTTGTTGTAAACGTTGACAATTGACAATATGACGTACGTTGTAAGCGTTGACAGTTGACAATATGACGTACGTTGTAAACGTTGACAGTCGACAATATGACGTACGTTGTAAGCGTTGACAGTTGACAATATGACGTACGTTGTAAGCGTTGACAGTTGACAATATGACGTACGTTGTAAGCGTTGACAGTTGACAATATGACGTACGTTGTAAGCGTTGACAGTTGACAATATGACGTACGTTGTAAGCGTTGACAGTTGACAATATGACGTACGTTGTAAGCGTTGACAGTTGACAATATGACGTACGTTGTAAACGTTGACAGTCGACAATATGACGTACGTTGTAAACGTTGACAGTCGACAATATGACGTACGTTGTAAACGTTGACAGTTGACAATATGACGTACGTTGTAAGCGTTGACAGTTGACAATATGACGTACGTTGTAAACGTTGACAGTTGACAATATGACGTACTCTTTTTGCTAATATACAAAAAATAACAAAAAACATTCAATTACAATAATTAGAAAACAAACAAATAATAATAAATTCTTGAATTTTATCACGATATAATAAAATGCTTTTTTAAATTTTATAGCATAGTAAGTTTTTTTAAAAAAAAAAAGTATAAACCAAAAAAAAATGTATATATATATATATAAAATATAAATTAAAATTATTAAAGATAATTTACTCGAATATTCTCAGAGTGTGAAAATAAATTTTGTTAATGTTTGTATAAGATCAAATATCAAATTAGATAATAATTACAATGATTGTAAATAATAAACATCGATCTAAATTTTTCACATTTTATTCGTCAATTTTAGAGGGATATCTGTCAATTTTATTTCTCTCTCATCATCAATTCTCATATAAAATAAATGAATTTATTCAATCTCTTTTCATATTATCTTTTTCATTTACTTCTTTTATTTGCAAATAATAATTTAGGTCAAATTGATCTGTTTTCTCTTTTCAGCCAATCATTTTACAATCATCTATGCAAGTTTTAAAATGAAATAAAATTTATGAAATCATTCATCAACCGATAATTTCAGATTGATTTCACAGGTGCAATTTTATAAAATAGTGACATTGAATGTGATTATGTGAAATAAATGTAACAGTTTATTCATTTATTTGACAGAATTTTTATATGTGAAAAAATTTTCATACATATATATATCTTAGCTCTTTAATATATCTGAAAATAATAAACAATATGAATTTAAAAAAAAAAAGTATTGTTTACAAAAATTTAAAAAAAAATTAAAAGCTAAGTGAACAAATGTTAATATGATTGATTGTACAAAAATTTTTTTTTACTTAAATAATTTAGATAACTAAAAAATTCAAATGATATGTATGTCTTTTCATTACTTTCAACTTAATTAGACATTAAAAAAAAAACAAAATTCTTGTCAAAATTTTTTTCTTTCATATTATTATTATGAAATTTATGAAAAAATATCTCTCCAGATAATAATTATTAAAGTTAGACGATAAATGTTAAAATTTTTATAAAAAAAAATTCCACCATCATTCATTTCAAGTTGTATTCGCTATATTTCACTTATCCCATTGAAGATAATAAATCATAAGTCATTTTCGAGAAACTCAATGTCAATGTCAATACGAAATGTCACTTCGTCAATTTAATTGTAAAATGATACCTTAATCTGTACTTTTACGCCCGTGGCGTAATTTCTATTATAAGTTTGACTTACTATTGTAAGTCTTGATATGCAATGAAGATATATGGTGAAAGATGTGTTCAGGTCAAGGTTGAAATGGTATTGTGACAATCAATGTAAATAATGATCCATTCTTATGGAGACAAATTATCACCTGATCATTTACCTGATTATAGATAATTATTCTGATTGATTTTTCTGCTACTTTAGAATATAAGTAAAAGTGTTGTTTAACAAATCAAAATTTTATTCTGTGGAATTGAAACTATCAAATTTGATCCGATGTGTTATGTAAATATGAAGCATCTTAATTTCCAATTGTTTGGTGATATATTCTAATACGCTGATCATTTTATCATTTTGTTGCTTATCATTGATGATAATCAATCTCATATTATACTTTAACTCATCAATTTAGTCTTTTTGTTATTTCTATGATTTCTCGAGAATGAGCATTTGTTCATATTGCTTTTTTTATAATTTTGTAAATTGTTGTTATTAAAAATTAAAAAATAAGCTTTGCAACTGAATCGATTGACTGAATCATTCAGGCGGCTTTGCAAGTTTTTTTTTACTTCCTATTTCTATCATAATTTTAGTTCTTCACTTTCATTTGTCCAGAGACTACCTAATTTATAATGTCAGAGATTCAAGGGAAATGGCAGATAACACTATTTATGTGAAATTTAAAAAATTTAATGGCTCAGATGAATAGTTATGACGATCGTTAAATGATGCACAGGGAGAAGAAAAAGATAAGTGATAAATTTTTTTGATTGCTGAGCTTATCATATCATTTAATTAAGGGTTATGTAATATATTGATTTGTTTTAATTATGTTGTAGTATTTTAAAGATTACAATTTTCTTTTTTTTTGTTAATTTGATGATAAAAAAGGAATGTTTAATTATGTTTTTTGGAACATTTCAAAAAGATGCAAGCGAGATAATCATTTCAATATAAAATATTTTTATGCCTTCTTTTTGTTTAATTCTAAACAAAACAAAATGTCGTATATCGATGTCTCATAGGTATTTGAAATCAATGATTCAAAACTCTGTATACTTTCGGATGCTTCTTATCCTCTTAACAATGTCACTTTTACATTTCAAATTGAAAATTTACCTTGTCATCATTTTGTCCACAACAGTCAATTAGTCATTTCATTAAATAATGCTTATAAACAGATGGTTGAAAAAATACTTCTTCAAATATTGAGAAATAAGGTATTCAAGTAATGTTATTGTATTTAATACATAAAGAAAAGTTTTCTCGAAATTTGAAAATAGTTTTTTTGATGTTTTAAGATATCAGAAGTCTGTAAAGGACAAATGAAGGGAATTCGAATGATTTATTCATATCTAATAACTATTATTGATAGATTTTTATTAATAAACGAGTTATCAAAATAAAAAAGAAAAAAAAACAAAATTAATTTTAATATTATTTATTATATTCAAATATAATCTTTTTTTAATATGATCTCGAGAGATACTAGCTAAAAGATTGCAGAAAGATTAATTTAATAATCATTCGTCATACTGTAACTCTTACAGTACTCACAATTCTATGATATAGGAGGATACGATAGCAACAGCAGCAGCAGCAGCAGCAACAGTAGGAAAAAAAAAGCCGCCCAGATGAGAAGAGCTTAGAAAGAAGAAGCGAAAATGTTTTGTACCAGGTTGTACAGTTGTCACCTGTGTGCTGTCAAGAAATAGTGATGAGATCATCCGTCATCTCGCCTTCCTTGCACTTCCCGTTCCTCACTCATTCTTGATAAAGAATAGTCAAGGTTAGTGAATGAATCTAATCAAACACAATTTCACTCTTATCAAATCATATTTACATAAATTATTTTTTTGGGGGGGGGTGATGAAAACAAATGAATTCTTTCTGTTCTTTTTCCTAATGGATCAGTTTATCAATTTATGTTAATGTGATTGAGAAGAAGCAGGTTGATAAGCCAGAACAGGTAATAGCTATATTTTTTTCTATCGAGATAAATCATCTTAATGTCTAGTTGATAGTGATGCTGAATTTGCTAATACGATTAGATAATTAGCTCGAATGGAGTAAAGAGATCAGTCATGGATAGTTATTATGATTAACCTTTTGCCATATCGATAATCTCATCATTTCTCGAAATAACTTTGAAATTCCCAACTGATATTTCTCTCTCTCTCTCTCTCTCTCTCTCTCTGTGTATGTGTGTGTATGTACGTGTATGTGTGTGTATGTGTGTATGTGTATGTAATTACATGTAGTAGCGGTAATGATAGGTAGTTATGATGGTGATTGGTGAGAAGTGAACGCATATGATATATAATATTTTGTAGGAAGTAGTCCTTAAAGGTTGGAAGGAGCGGAAAGGGAGAGAGGATTGAAAGGGAGTTATGCAGGTGCAGGTGACCTTGGAGACAGCTGTGACTGGTTGCACCCCGGTACCGCCGTGTATTTGCAGCACGATCTCTTATGGTCAGGCGAAAAAGTCTACCTAACCTGTTCTGGTGTGTGAAATGAGCATAAATTATCAATCCCGAAATTTGCTATAGAATATTTTACAGCCTAAGTTTTATTTTCTATTAATGAAATTGAAGCATAATATATTGCTTTAAGAAGTATCAAACATTAAATATAATCGTTACATTTAAGAAATGATTAATATAAGACAAGAAGCATCTATAAATTTGCTTAATTATTTTATTTTTAAATTCTATTTTTCTTTTTTTTTTTTACAAAGATCACTTCAAAATGCGCTTCGATTCTAAATTTAAATAAATATTTCCTGTGAAATAGCTAATTCAGTACAGAAATGGAGAGAAAAATGCTTGCTTAAAGAACTGATAATATTAAGCAGTTTGACAACAAACATTTATTTATGGGAATGCTTTAAAAAGGAAAGTTTACTTTTATGAATGTCACAGATACCGTATGACCGTTTGACTGTTCGAGAATTTGTCAACTGATTATGCAAGCATTCATGAAGAACTGTAACATTGTGATTTTGTGAAGGATATCACGTATTTTACGTCAATCATAAATAGATAATCTAATTTTCATGAGCCAATTATGAAAAGTGTTTTTTGAAGTTCCTTAGAGTGCTGTTAATTATAATATTTTGGTATCATGACACTTGCGTGAGGTATTCGTGATCAAAAGTTAGTTGTCCGTTTCACTTACTTAAAACTAAAACATAATCATATGCTTAAGATCATTTGTATAATTTTTGAGTTTACTCTAAATCAAAATCCTCTAATATTATATATTTAATTATCTCTTAATATTCTTTTCTTCATATCTTAAATTCTTATTATTTTGTAATTTTTCTCATCATTTTGAAATTATTTCTTATTGTTTTTATTTCTATTCATATTATTATTATTATTATTATTATTATTATTATTATTATTATTATTATTATTATTGTTATTATTATTATTATTATTATCATATTCGAAAGTTTCTTTAGAAGTTTTTGTACAGATTATCTTGCTGCATTAAGAGATAAAATGACAAATTGATAATAGATATAATTGATCGAAATATTAATAATAAGTGAAAGCATGAAATGATAAGCAATTTTAGGAATTTCAAATGGGTATTTCTCATCCTTCCCGAAATTGATTGCAATTTAACAGCACATTTTCTCTTTTTGGAATCTCGCTATGCAGCACAATGATAAGATGGAAGGGGGAGGGAAAGGGGGTTGACAATTCCAGCGAGCAGAAGGGAGGCGCAAAAGGGACGGGTTATAGGTTGGCTCAGGCTGGCACCCGATAATTTTGCTGCTGTAGTAGTAAGTAGTTATAGTAGTAGCAGTAGCAGCAGCAATAGTAGTAGTAATAATAATAATAGTAGTAGTAGTAGTAGTGATAATAATAATAATAATAACAATAATAATATAAATAATAAAGAATAGTGATAATAAATAACAAATAGCAATAGTTAATAGTTGTTGTCGTAGGTCATGGTCATATGTGTCGCTTTAAAGATTCAAATTTGGAAGAATAATTTTTGAAGTGAGTCTAAAATTTGTGATAGCTCTTCTCAGCTAGTGTTATACATTATTCTGATAAAAATATTTTTACGATTAAATATTTATGATTGAAATTGCCAACAAAAAAAAAAAAATATTTATCCATAATTTTTCTCTGTTTACATTAAAATAATGGAAATAATTCGATTAAATATCCGTGATGGCATTAGATTTTTTTTTTCTTTTTTTTTCACATTCGTACCATTTTGATTTTAAAAATTAGTCACAAATAGCCTACAATTCAATTATATTATTGCAACTATTTATTGAAAAATATTTGTTGAAAATTAATTTTTTTTTCTTTTTTTTTTTTCAGATTTACATTGTTTATCAAACGAAATTGCCATCAGAAGGAGAAAAACATCAAATAATGCCTACAAAAGTGCATTGTGGTGGACTGTTTTTAGGTGATACAATTCAAGAAAAAACTCGAACTTTACTCAATTGGAGTGATGAGGTTTTCATTTTTTACTTCTTTTTTATCATAATTTTTTTTTTTTAATTTTAATGAAAAAAAAAAGAATCCAACATAGCAGCGTTTAGGTAATTAATTTGAATTGAAATTGATATTAAAATGAAATAATAAATATTAATATAGCTTAATTTAACTTTTATCATTGTTTTGTACAGTAGTGACAATCTTAATAAATGACAATCTTTTGACATTTAACAATTTTCAAATGCAATTTTATTTCTTTACAAAATCATACATTTACACATTTGCTATTGCTTATTTTCTTTGGAAATAATATATTTGCAGCAGTCTAATTTAAAAATTAGTTTGCAATTTGACCAGTAAATTAGTCTGCCATTAATTAGTCTACAGTTTGATCGTAGAAACAAATTTATTGCTGCAGTACTTGTAGCTGTATAGGTATAAGTAAATGAGAGTTAAGTTATATATAGATGGCAATTCTATAAATAGTTAATAGCTGTATAGGTATAAGTAAATGAGAGTTAAGTTATATATAGATGGCAATTCTATAAATAGTTAATAGCTGTATAGGTATAAGTAAATGAGAGTTAAGTTATATTTAGATGGCAATTCTATAAATAGTTAAATTTGTAAAAATAAATTGAAATCTCGCAAGTTAAGAAAAATAAAACTTACTTTATGCAAATATAATGCTTCTTTTGCAATCAAATATTCAACAAATTATTGCTAATTCGATATTTAATCATTTAAGCTTTTTTAAAAGTTTAATTTATCAGTATATGTTTAACATGCTTATTACATTCTGATAAGTGATAAAAGCCTTTTATTACTTCATAACAATTATGAGATAATTAAAAATAGCTTAACAAAAAATTAACAAACCAAACTAATTTTCTGAGCACTTAAACTTTTCCAATTGTTTTTATTTGGGTTTCTATTTACAGTTGTGGTAATTTGTTGTCTTTGAGCGTTTTTTTTTTTTTTTATTGTTATCATTACTCTATCAGTGCCATCCTTTCCTTTCCATTCTTTTTGAAAAAAAAAAAAAAATTTTTTTTCTTTAATAGACAATAATTTATCATTTTTTTTTTTTGTTTTGCCGATTTCTGTCTTCATAAACTTGCTGAAGAGGTAATGTTTACAAACAGTAATAAATATTACTGTTTGTAATCTCAGTAACTGACTTACTGATATTAATAATAAACATTAATTATCAATTTATGATAATTATAATAGCTAAGATAATTTAAAATAAGATATTTTTTCGATACAAATCTGGTAGCAAATCTGATAGCTACCATAGCATTGTTAGTCTTTCCGATTTGTCTATCTGTATACATAATTCCGGATGGATGATATATATGTATATGTATTGGTTCAAAAAATTCTTCTGAACAGCCTATTTTCAAATAAATTTTAAAATGCTCATTAATTTATGCATTATAATTAGCAAAAAAAAAAAAAAAAAGAAAGAAAAAGCTAAATCTAATTATTGTTAATTTTGAGCTAAACTTTATCAAATTTAAGGTTTTATTTATTTATTTTCAGCATTATCCAACAATTACGGTGAATACTACACAAAAATCAATCAGGAAATGTGATCGACGTATGCTTCATGTAAATAATTTACGCCGTCATCCGTATATGATTCCTGTTGGACGTTTGCGCTCCTATAGTAGCAGTTCAAGTTCAACTTGTAGTAGCAGTAGTAGTAGTAGTGAATATTCGCAACCATCGCCAAGTTATAGCATCACATCATATGAATCATTAAGTCCAGAACCATTGGTATCACCTTATACCGCAACTGATTGTCAGTCACCTCATTTGGTACCATTAGGTCCAACAATATCAACACCAACACCAGCATCGGCACCATCATCATCTTCAACTGCTATCAGCTATCGATCACCGGAACGAGAAGCACAAGTTTTTGAAAGGTTACGACAGTTGGTACCAATGTTACCATTTGATCGAAGTGCTTATCAGGTTAGCTATAAATAATTCAAAAATTTAATAACCATAGTTTAGAATTATATACTTTCTGTAATATTTTTCAATTCAATTCTTTTCTATTAATTCATTTATATCATTGATAGTGAGTTATTATAAAATGATTGATATGAATAAAAAATTAGTATGAAAATATTTGAAATCTTTTGATTGCTAAAGTTTTGCTTAGAATTAATGATAAGAAAAATAACAGTGATTATATTTAGCTTTTGATTGATTATGATTATTTAAGGGAAGTTTTTGAAATGAAATAGTTTCGTTGCAGGTACTGATAGAAACAGTTTCACAGGTGATGGATTTAGAGCAGCAACTTGAACAATTAAATGAGCAAACAAACAGCGCCAAAAATAGTCTCTGGATTGAACAACGAAATCTCGTTTCGAATGTTGAAAATGTTAGTTAGATGATTTGAATTTGATAGATTTATTGTGTTTTTTAGTCCTATTCGATAGGTAACTGGCCTTATCTCATATCTTAACAAAAGAGCCTTATCTCATATCTTACAAAAGAGCCTTATCTCATATCTTACAAAAGAGCCTTATCTCATATCTTACAAAAGAGCCTTATCTCATATCTTACAAAAGAGCCTTATCTCATATCTTACAAAAGAGCCTTATCTTATATCTTACAAAAGAGCCTTATCTCATATCTTAAAATAAGGCCTTATCTCAATACCTTACAACAAGGCCTTATCTGATATTCTTACAATAGAGCCTTATCTCATATCCTACAATAGAGCCTTATCTCATATCTTACAAAAGAGCCTTATCTCATATCCTACAATAGAGCCTTATCTCATATCTTACAAAAGAGCCTTATCTCATATCTTACAAAAGAGCCTTATCTCATATCTTACAAAAGAGCCTTATCTCATATCCTACAATAGAGCCTTATCTTATATCTTACAAAAGAGCCTTATCTCATATCTTACAATAAGGCTATATTTCATACCTTACAACAAGGCCTTATCTGATATCTTACCATAAAGCCTTATCTGATATCTTAGAGAATAACAAATAGCAAATGTGAAACATGAAATGATTATTTGAGATCGAATGTAATTTTTCCTTATCTTTTTTTGTGGCTTTCCTAATGTGACAATTAGAAAGAAAAAAAAAGTTACTTTTTTCCTCTTTTCTTAATTTTTACTAATTTTTCCTCTAAAATTCATAAAAATTTAACTTAAGAGACAATAAAAATTTTGAAGAAAAAAAAGAGAGAGAGAGAGAGCATAGAAAATGTCATTTCATTGAAATGCTACTAATATAGCAAAATATAAAAAGAAAGAAAGAAGAATTAAAATGAATTAATTATTATTTTTTTTTTTAATTTATTATTAGTTAGAATTAAATCTGAAAGTTACTCTCTAATTCATTAATTAATGAATTAATAAATACCTGACTGATGATGACTCATCACTTCTAGAAAATATTTGATCAATTCATTTATGTAACATTCATATTTCATCAGGAAATAAAATGAATAATATAATTTTAAAATGAAATCTTTATTCAATATTAAAAAATGCCAATAAGCTATAAAAAAAAAAAATGTATTGCAGAGTCTTTTTCCGGATGATTTGAAGACTGTTGATGTGACAGCATTCAAACGCCTTCTTTGTTCCGGTTCACATCCGGTTAATACTTCAAAAACAGTACACTTCAATTTTGTATCATAAAAATGTACATTTTTGGTTAAACTGAGCGCAACTGCTATCTTAATTTGTAATTTTATCAGCGCAAAGATTACTTATAAGATATGAAATAGAAATAGAGAATATATTTGAATAAATTTGAAAAAAAAAAAAAAAGGAAAAAATTATTTATATCCAATAAATATTTTATTCTATCTAATTTGATTACATTAAATTTAGGCTAATATTATTATTGATTTACTTGTATAAATGATATTTTTACAAATTTTACTTTTTAAACATTTTTGAAAACATAATCGATCGATACACTGATCACATTTTCATGATTAGAACACTTTTTTCCCTTTTTTTTTTTTTTTTAACTAATTAAAATCTGCTATTTTAATTTGTAAACATTTTTCACTCAATTTTTTTTTTCCACCATTTTAAAATGTTTATACTTAAATGAAACTATTTCTAAGGAAAATAATATCCTCTCTTTTTTTTTTTTTTTTTTGTTGTTGTTATTTTAAAGAAAACATTAACAAATTTCGCATTTAAAAAAAAAAAAAAATGAATGCTGCAGCAAGTAATGAATGATATATTTACTTGCATTAAAAAGATAAATGGCCTTAATTTTTTTTTTTTTGTTCGCCGATAAAATTTTGTGCAAATTTTCTTATGGATAAAATATATGCTTTAATTAATTTTAAATTAAATTTTTTTTTCCGTGATATTTCTATTCAATTAATTAATTAATTGAATAGAAATATCATAGATTGGATGTAAAAATTAAAAAAGAAATTTCTTTGTTTTTTTTTAATTTTAATTTATTTATGTATATTTATTCTAGTTGATGACAAAATGCTCAAATAGCTAATGTTTATCTTTAGAAGCTTTAAAAAGTACAAAAAATAAAGAAATATAATAAGATTGAAAGCTAATCTATTAATGTAATCCTTCATTTTATTTAAAATTTAATTTCTATTTTTAATTAATTTGATTTAATAATTGAATGAATTTCAGTTGCGCTCAGGCAGATGTATAATTTAAAAAATTGTCATTCCATTTCTTTTGTATAATGAATGTTGTACTAATTGCTCACATTTCATGCATAAATTAATAATAATTCATTTGCGGCGCTTTTGGTACATTCCATTTGAACTTATAGAATTTCCCATATTGTTTCAATGATTCCAATAACAATTATAAATAAAGCGGAAATTTCAACTTTTTTTAGTATTTTTTTTTCTTTGAAAAAAAAAAGAAATATTTTGTTTTTTTTTTTTAGATTTTTGTTTAAACTAATGTAAGAAATTTTCTCTGAAACATTTCAAAATTTTTTACAATGTTTGTTTAAATATTTTACAATTTTTTAAATATATTACAAAAGAAAGAAAAAAAAAAAACAATACAAAATTTTACAATTTTTGTTTTTTTGTTCCAAATAATTTATCATTTAATTTACCGCCTACTTTCATTAATTATTTTCATTAAAATGAGATATATACAATGTTTGTTTATTTTTACTTATGATTACATTAATATTAATACTTATTGTATGAATAGATAGATTTAAAATTTAATTATTTCGATATCACAAAAAAAAAAAACACAAAATTTTATAATTTTATATTTTTGTTTACATTAATTTATTGCCTAGAACAATTGACAGAGTTGCAGTTAGAATTAAAATTTTAAAAAATTTTTTTTATTTCTTAAGATTTTCTTAAGATTTTTTTTTTTTTGGTCACAATTATTTGTTTATAACAAAAATCAGAAAGTTATATTTAAATAATTAGATGTATATTAATTATAATTCCTTCCTATATCCAATTAATATTTGTTCATTTATTTTCATCAAATTTTAAAGAATGAAGAAAACGACCATAAAAAAAAAGGAAAAAATGTATATTTTCAATTTAATATTTGAAATATTTGATAGATGTTCAAAATTGATAACAATTAAAATAAATAATTGTGATATATTGATAATCAATAATTGTTTATCAGTATTGTTACTACTAATGTTACATAATGATTAAAAGAAATGATGATCGAAGACGATCCGGTTTCTTCGGGAAGAATTATGCAATTGATAGGATTGAAAAGTGGTACAGGGTGACACCATTCCTGTGCATTCTTCTTGTCTGCTCTGTGATGATCGAATCATACCTTTAAATTTTCATTTTTTTTTTTTTTCTTTTGTATACCCATCATTGATTGAAAACTTTTACAGAGGGATTTTTTTTTTCTTTTTGGGAAAGAAAAAAGAAAAAAAACGGAAAAGTTTGTTATCTTTGATGAGTTAATAATATTGCATTGAAATAGTTAAAGAGAAAAAAGTTTTGAACAAATCAACCGGAAATAAAAATGATGAAAGAAAATGATTGTATATTTGATTAAGTATTGATTGAGGGACCGATTGATACAATTGCTCTTCCTCTTTTTTTTTTAATGAAAAATGAAAAATTATTAGAAAATTTAATGAATTTTTAGCTTCCTTATTTGTTAACTGTAATAGTATTACAGTTTTCAGAAAATTGAATTAATAATTCTTTAATATATATGCTTATCATCTGAAAAAATTTAATCATATAATTTAAATTGTTTATATTAGAATGTTGAGAAATAAGATGATAAAAAACTATTTTAATGTTAAATTAATTAGCTTATCTATTCAAAAAAAAAAAAAAAAACAGATAAATCATTGTTATTTATCGTATACATTGGAATAATTTTGTAAATAATAGAAAGTTTGTTTACTCTATTATTTACATTTCCTATACAAATTATAGTGAAAAAAAAAAAGGAAATTCAATATCTATATAAAAATATCATATTATTTGCATTGATTCCAATTATTGTTGAATGAAGAACGATTGTTGTTGTTGTTTATTTTAATTTTCTTGTAATGCTGATAATAGCATTGATAATACAGGTATTGCTAGTGATATTGTTACTTATCAATGAGTTAATTTTAATTTTCTTGTAATGCTGATAATAGCATTGATAATACAGGTATTGCTAGTGATATTGTTACTTATCAATGAGTTAATTTTAATTTTCTTGTAATGCTGATAATAGCATTGATAATACAGGTATTGCTAGTGATATTGTTACTTATCAATGAGTTAACTTTAATTTTCTTGTAATGCTGATAATAGCATTGATAATACAGGTATTGCTAGTGATATTGCTATTTATCAATGAGTTAACTTTAATTTTCTTGTAATGCTGATAATAGCATTGATAATACAGGTATTGCTAATAATATTAACAAATTTTTTCTTTCTTAATCATTATTAATAAATGATTCAATTTATTTTTGCTATTTTAATTTCATTCTATCATTTTGTTATCACATCATTCATACATTCTTCTTTCATAGCTTTTTTCACATTCAGCATCTGATGATGAGAGATGCTTGATCGTGTAGATGTTGTCAGATCTTTGTCATCTCAATCAAATCGTGAATTAAATTATAAATTCCATTCTTTTTTAATCTAAAAATTTATAATAAATTTTTTTTTATTAGTAATGTAAAAAATAAATAAATAAATAAAGTAATAAAATAATTCATAATGTATGCATAAACATTTATATAAATATATATTAAAAAAATAAAATTACTCACATCCATTAGTATATTTATAAATTCATGACAGTTTGGATTGGCTTCAAATACTAATCCATCAATTTCGCATTAGCATTTTATATTGTTTTGAACATTGATGAAAAAATTGCTTTTGATCTGTATTACGAGCCATTAATTTAGCTGCTTGTACATCAGCATGCTCTATATAAAATTATAATAATAATAATAATAATAATAATAATAATAATAATAATAATAATAATAATAATAATAATAATAATAATAATAATAATAATAATTAGATTAAAAATAATTTAATTCAAATTATTATTATTATAAAAGAAATATAAGTAATATAATTAATCAACAATAATAATATTGTTTATTTACCAGAAATATGTCACCATGGTAAAGAGCCACGAGTTATGTCAACAAGTAAATAAATCCATGACTCAAGATCATCCCTTCTTGATAAATCAAGTCTTAGATGTACATTTAATGAGCCATATCGTGTTGTACCACCCCGTTCTGTCTTACCACCTGATGGAATTAATTTACCATTCTGTGAAACTTAGAAAGAACAAAATGCACAAATATTTATTAGAATATGTTTAAAATTTTTTTTTAAAAAAATTTTAATCTATTTCATATTGAAATATTTTTTTCCATATTTTCTTCCTTATCAAAAATCTCGCCTTATCACTATTATATTTCGTTACTATTATGATAAGGTAAATTTAAAATTAGTAAGTAATGATAAATAAAAAAAAAAGATTTTTATATTTAAATGATAAAAAAATAAAATATATATTTTGAAAAAATATTTAAATGACAAAAAAAATAAAAAATATATCTTGGAATATTTTTATCATTCCATATTTTCTTCCTTATCAAAAATCTTACCTTATCACTATCATATATTTTTTACTATTATTAACTACTGGAATATTTTTATCATTCCATATTTTCTTCCTTATCAATAATCTTACCTTATCACTATCATATATTTTTTACTATTATTAACTACTGGAATATTTTTATCATTCCATATTTTCTTCCTTATCAATAATCTTACTTATCACTATCATATATTTTTTACTATTATTAACTACTGGAATATTTTTATCATTCCATATTTTCTTCCTTATCAACAATCTTACCTTATCACCATCATATATTTTTTACTATTATTAACTACTGGAATATTTTTATCATTCCATATTTTCTTCCTTATCAATAATCTTACCTTATCACCATCATATATTTTTTACTATTATTAACTACTGGAATATTTTTATCATTCCATATTTTCTTCCTTATCAATAATCTTACCTTATCAATATATTTTTTTTTTGCAAGACCAAAATCAATCAAAAATATCGTTTTATGCTGTTGATTTTCACATAATCCAACCATAAAATTATCAGGTTTAATATCACAAGATATAAAATGATTCTTTTAATAAAATTTATTGCTCCTTCAATTTATTATTATCTATCAATTTATCAGTTCTTTTTTTTTTTTTTTTTTTTTTTTGCAGTAATAAACAAAATTTACAATTTTCAATGCGAATTTAAAATATTAATGATAATCTTAGAAGATTTTTTTAGAAAATAAAAGATTTTTAAGATAAAAGATTTTTAGAAAATATATATTATATTAAATTAATTAAAGGATATAATTAATTAATTATGCTAATTTCATTTATAAAAGAATAAACTAACAAATGTAATTCCTCTATAGCTTTCAATGTTTGCAAGCCTACTTACACATCGAAAAACACCTGTTAATTTGCTCATTGCGCAATTTATGTAAATTTTTTCTCAGCAATAAAGATATAATTTGGTTTCTCCATACCCTCAATTATTAATTATTCAACGTTAAAAAATTAAATTTAGAACTTACCTGTTTAAATTAAATTAATAATTTTTGACAAATCATTTTATTAGTAATTTAAATTATTATATACAAAAAAAAAAAAATTCATCGCTATATTAGATCATTTATAATTTGTAGCTAATTTACATAATTATAATTCTTTGGCTAATATCTATAAGTGATCTTTAAGCTTTAATCCTAGGAAATCATTGCAATATGCATAATGTGATAAACTTTTTAATCATTTCAAACTTCAAATTTAGGAAAATTTTTGAAATATAATTTTTTTTTTTTAAAAAAAAGCTTACATAATCGATTAGTTCACAAATATGTTGGCTATGTCATCGTGCTGCAACATGCATTACACTTACTTTAAGGTGTAACATCGATTTACTGTATTTTTCTGCTTTTCAGAGCTACACGATATCTATAAATTTAATTTAGCTTCAATCGATTTCAAATTCATTAAATTTTGTTAAAATTTATAAAATTTGGAATTTAACACATTCTTGAAATTATTAAATGTCACTGTTAGAAATTAGAACAGTAAATTGATAAGAATGAAATAGAAGTAGGAGAAGAATTTAGTTAATTTAATTAGCATATTTAAATTTCTCAATTCATTTTTTTTTTTTTTTTAATATATAATGAATAAAATGATATATTATTCATGGATAAAATAATAATTTATTTATGATAATCTTAATAACATTTTAAAAATAACGTGAAAATTTCGATGCATACATACAGTCTTACATTTGAAAAAGTATTAATAAGATGAATTAGAAAACAAAATTTAACATTCTTTTAAATAGTTAATGAAATGATAAATTAGTACTGATATAATTTAAAACTTTAATGATAATGAATTATTTATTACCTAAAATGAATGTTGTACTAAATTTAATAAGTAATTTGATAAATATTTTATTTTATTATTAATTAACAATATTATTAATTTCATTTTTGAAATTGACAATTTGAATTGATATTTAATGGATTACTTCTTCACTGATTAGTTTATTTCTAGCATTACTCTTCATCTATTCATGCTTAATTAAATTAAGCCATATTGTGTGAATTTATCATTTAAAAGTTACATAATTTGAAATCATTTTTTGAAATTAAAAAATTTCAACACAATCATATCAGTCAGATTGTGCGCTTACACGAAGGATCAATAGATGATCAATAGAATGAAATACTTTAATTTGATTTAATTAAGTACCATATGCATTTATATTAGCCGGATAATGTTTGGAGCATTTCAAAAAGTGTTAAAAATTTAATATGAATTTTTCAATTTAACTATTTGGTTATATTCGTTGCTGTATAATTATAATTTAATGAAATTTTTGGTAATTTAAATAAAGTTTAGAAATAATTTTTAGATACAAGTAATTCAGGTGGCATCATACTTTATTCAAGTTTTATTTATTTATTTTTTTTTTTAAATCTAAAAAAAAGAAACAAATGCAATAATTCAAAAATTATCAATCAACTCTTCTCATTCCTATTAAACTTTGATAATTTTCGGGTAAGTGAACTCAAGAATGCTATATCAATGAAATGGGGCAAAACAGAATTGTGTAACGTGTAATATCAAAGCTTTTGCACGTGTAGTACGTGTAATAATCAACGTGTAAAGTAAATTTTTGTCTATTCTGGAAAAAAAAAATTTCAATAAAATTATAATATACAATTCGCTATTATTGTTATTTTCTTCTTGTTTAAATAAAATTATATTAAAATCTTTCAATGCTAACGCATATTAATTAACGTTGCAATTGCGTGAACGAAACTTGCGTGAACGATACTTACTTGAAAGAAAGTAAAAAATGTTTTCGTTGAACTAAGAAAAAGATAAGAATGTAAATATCTCTTTGAATATTTGACGTACATACTAGTAACATATAGTACTAATAAAATCAAGAAAAAAAAAAACTTAACGTTATAGTGGGAATTCTGAAATTGAAATAATACGTGAAATGATTTACCTGTACTTAATTTATATTAAACAGAATAGGTGATCAACTTAACGTTTTTGACTAAAATGATCACTTTCCAAAAGTAATTATTTCAACAATTAATTCATAATTCAGAATAATTATTACGTATTAAGTAATTTATTACATAATTTACTACTAATTAAGTAATTAATAAGAAATTTTATTAATAAAAAAAAATAAAATAAGGAATTATTTATGGCAAAAAAATGTTGAAAAAATGATGCATAAAAATGAGATTAGAAATGATTGCCTAAAGTTAATAACAAAAGAAACTTAACTAATCCATCCATCTTCAGTTTCACTTTCATAAACGATACCATAGCTACTACTTTCACCGATAACTTTATATAATTGATATGTGTGTAAATCAGTTTTCACCAATTTTTTCAATTTTGGTAAACGATCCTTTTCTACAGAGCATACAACAGTCAATGTTGGTTGATGTAATGATAACGGTGGTGGTACAGGTAGTGGTAGTGGTGGTGGTGGTGGTACAGGTGGTGGTGGTGCAGGTGGTATAGATGTCACATCAACCGACATTAAGAGACAAAAAAGTCCAGATTATGCACTTAATGTTTATAAACTTGGAAGTAATTTGTTTACAAAAAAGAAAGATAAAACAGCTTAGCATTAATTAAAGAAAAGTCTAACACTATTCAATCATAAAAAAAAAAAAAAATAGAACAATGAATTTATCTCAATTTTTTTAAATATGTCAAAAATTTGCATCAAAAATATAATACACAAATAAAAATTCTTAATTCAAATTTCAGTCTAATTTTAATAATGCTTTAATGCAACAAATACAACTGAAATATTATCCGGTATAACAAGATAAATTCTTCCAACAGTGTTAAGAATCAGATATGAAATTAAATCTTAACAAATAGACCAAATTAATTTGAATCAAAAAAAAAAAAAACAAAATGTATAATTAACAATGATTCACGTTTAACACTGCAATGTTTTGTGCAAAATTAATCTTAAATTCTTCATTTAAATTGTTATTGAATAAATTCATTTATCTTAAAAGGAAAGGGTCCAAATTTAACAAAGTACGAGCATTTGATTCAGTTTTAACGTCTAATTTATTTATGACAGCAATACGAATAGCTAATTTAGTTAATTTGAAGATATATATTAAAAAAAAAGATAAACACAAGGAATTTTATCAGTTCAAGATTTTGATAATGATTAATTCATTTCATCAGTTACCCACTACTTCAATGAGATGAAAAATGTGTCATGAGTAATATATTTCAAACTAAAACCAATTTACTTTATCACTTGGAATTTTTCCGATAAATCCTGGATTTTATTGATTTGTTATCAAATTTTCTCCATCAAGGTTAATTGTAGTAAGCAATTAACACTTTAGATGAAGGCTTCGAATAAAAGTTACATATGCAAACATAATCTAAAATAATTCTTCACTGTTTTTGTTAGCATATGTGGAAACAAATCGATACAACAACAACTGTGTAATTTCCTGTGAAATTCACAAGTAAAATTTCTATTACTAATATCAATTATTGCTGCAATCACTGCTTTTTCTTTTACGCTTTCGATTTCGATGTTGCGGAAATGATGGCATCATGCTTGCATCACATGGATATGGAGGTTCATTGAAATATCTAAAATTTTAAAAGAATTTTTCAAAACTTAAACTTAGTTTAAATCATTGTTTTCATCCAAAACATCTCATATCATTTCAGAATCAATTGAAAGCTAATTTTGCTGCTTATTTGCAAGAAAAAAAAAATTAAATTAAATTTTTGGGACTTAATTCTATACCTTGAGCGTAACGCATCTTTTGCACAAATTCTAAGAGATGGATCATAGGTGAAGAGACCATTTAAAAGTTGCAAGCAACTATCACTAGCACGTTCCATCACACATTTCAATTTATTGTACGGTTGGGAGCGTAAATGGTAATTACGCAAAGCAGGTAACTCATCGATTCCTTTCCATATCTTTTCTGTTGGAGTACCAAGCAAATCGATTATTCTGTTAATCTAAACCATATGTAAATTTGATCCATTTTCCACTAGTATTTTAGGAAAATAATCAAAAATATGTATTAGTGATTGAGAAAGCAATATAGAGAACTTGAGAACCTGATCAAGCTCGGTTTTCCCTGGTAGAAGAGGTCGATGTATGAGTAATTCTCCAAGAATGCATCCTGTTGCCCACATATCAACACCGGTACTTTGTTCTTTTGCACCAAACAATAATTCCGGACTACGGTACCTGAAAAACTCCAAAGTTTAGAACTCCTTTCAGATTTTCCAGAATTAATAAATGGAACAAGCTGATGCTTGATAATTCATTGTGGATTATTTAAAATATTACCATAGAGTAACAACTCGTGGCGTCATTTGTTTGGAAGGTTCTCCAAATGTTCGCGCTAATCCAAAATCAGCAACTTTCAAACAACCATCGTCTGTTAAAAGAAGATTAGACACCTATAAAATGAATTTAAGTTATTTTTGACTATCGTATCAAAAATATCAACAAAATTTAAATAATAAACGCAAAAATTTTTTTGGCAAGTGTTAAAAAAAACTGGATCTTAAAAAGGAAAGAAAAGAAAAAAACTTCAAATGAACCTTTAAATCTCGATGAACTACATGTTTTTCATGCAAATAAACCAGTGCTTTTAGTAATTGCATTACAATACATTTAACTTGTGGCTCTGTAAATGGCACTCGCATATTGTCCAATAGTGAAGCCAAGTCATGAAATAATTCATGTGAAATGCAAAAAAAAAAAAGAAAGAAAAAAAAGGATGATCAATAATGTGCAAATCTTTTCTCATCCTCCTGGCTTCTCAAAAATTAGGATTACCTGAGTACAGTATTCCATAACAAGAAAAATTGAAGTTAACTGCTGTCCTACTACAATTTCCTTCAATTCTACGATATTTTTGTGGTGCAAACTCATCAGCAAATGAATTTCACGGATTGCCGATATTGAAATTCCATTCTCTTCACTTTTCTCATCCATCCTTACTTTTTTTAGTGCTATCTAAAAAAAAAAAAAAACCGAAGTGTAATGAAATTTCAAGATTAAACTTAAATTTCAATCTTAATTAAAGCTTTAAATAAATTGAGAGAGAGAGAATAAGATACAATTTCTCCCGTTTTTGTATCCTTGGCTCTATATACAATGCCATATGTACCTTCACCAACACGATTCATTTTTTCGAATTCATTTACTGACCGACATCCTCCATAACCAATCTTATCCTGAATATATGTCACAATGATATACAACCCAATCTTTTCTATAGTTCTTTTCCATAACTTTACAGAACAATTTTTGAATTTCAACAATTTCTTTTCCACGTGCTTTATCTACTATTATGAAGAATACACAAAAAAAAAGCAGAAATTTCAGCATCCTCAATACAGATATTAATTTCCAATTTAATGGTTCTACACTACTAAATAATGTTACAATTCCAGATTTACAATGTTAGCATTACATATAACATTCCTACAAGTTTAGATATTGATTTCTCAATTCTCAGATATTAGGAAAAATCATCTGTGAACAAACATAATATATATCGTAATTGGATTAGTTTCAAGCATTCTATGCTATCGTAATATTTTCAAACAGAAAAAACCTTTGAAAAAGCAGCATTCTCCAAATTAAATATAGAAACAATTTGTATTGTTGATGATGATGAAGAAGCCAATTGATGCGCTTCATCTCCCATCAAGCTGCAATATTTTATCTCATTAAATATTAATTTAATTAACAAAAGATAAAACGCATATAAACAGACCAATTCTAAAACTTGACGAATTATTTTTTTTTTTTAATCCAATGAACACAACAATCAACATTATATCTACTTTGTCTCTTTTATGATCAACTAATCCACACATCTTTATAAAGTAGAAATTAATCCATTTCTACTCCGAAATTTAATACATAAATTAAAGAAATGATCGATGCTCCGTTCAACATTTCTCAAAGATTAAACTTCACTTCTTTAATAACTATCAATAATTAACACTCGTACAAACCATAAATTAAATTGAAAAAGCCAAATACATTGTCACATCGATTTATGCTGATTTTACATAAATAAACATAGAGGAGCTTTGGTTATTGCTTTCGGAAACAGATAATTTCGATCTTCTACAAACACTATTATATTATTTCAATTATACTGCAGTTTATACTTTTCCACACTATCTTTTGTTACTTTTACAAAATTTTACATCTTATCTCTTCACTCGTACGCAGTTAAAAGTTGCAATGTCAGCAGAAATATTTTTACAAAGTGTTAAATGCCACCAAATGTCAATTGGACATACAGGAACCCAATAATCATTTTAGTCCATCCCACTAATACAATAATTTTTTCTCGATGTCAGTACCGTAAGATCCGAACACATCGTATAAAATCCACAACTTCAGAGCTTTAAATTACTCCGATCAGCAATAATAACAGCACATGAGATTGACATTTGTTTTCATGCAATATTTCCACCTGTATTCTCACTAATTATGTTTATAATAACCAATAATTACACGTAACCATCAGTCCACTACAACATTTTCGACAGTCGGATAACATCCAAACACCTCTACCTGTAAGATAATATTCAAGCATATTATCATCACTACTTCACTATGTCCTTTATCTTTTCTTTTGATCATTTATTATAAAAGAGTACAGCGATGATTGTCGCATTACTAAAGCATAAATAAATGCGCACTATTTTTTTTTTATTCTTCAAAAACTGAATAAACATAAAAAGGATAAAATGAGTGATATCTCTCATTAATTTCAATAAATAATTTTTACTTTTAATAAATAACACCAATCATGGTGTAACAAAACTGAAACAAGAAGGAAAGGAAACAATTAATTAGCAAAGCCACTAAAACAATTTGTGCAGCGAGATCTTCGACTCAAATTTTTGTTATAGAATACTCTTCGAAGATCTGAAAAGAAAATTTAAAATTCAACGACGAGCTAAACAAGAAAACAAACGATGAATTAAATTGAGCACAGCACGTGACAAGGAAAGCATTCAAAAATTACATCTAAAAAAAAGAAAAAAAGATAAGAGAATGACCGAACGACTATCTTAACATCCAAAATGATTCTAACTTCCGAACAAAAAAAATAAAAAAATAAAAAACAATAAAGTGGTGAAACTGCAGTTATCGCAGACATTACAACGCAAAAAACAGAAAACTAAGAACTATGCATCAATTCAACTGAGCCAGACGAAGTTTTTCTGGTCTTGTTATATTATGTCGTGAAAACAATATACAGTGACCTTTACGCACTTGAACTATGACGAAATCAAAAAGTCACACAAGTTGGGTCGAACAAATTCGCATAGAACTTTCTGGCATTTAGGAAAAGAAGAGTTAAACAGAATCATATTTTACAGCTTTTACTATCTTTCAGAACTTGTTAAACAATAAAGAATGAAATATTGAATTATGATAATGAACAGATGACGAATATGTCGCCTAGTGTACATACTGATATGTACATATTTGGACATCAAACTTGAATCTAGAACATTTAAGGTGTGTACGAAATAGTGCTTTTATTATTGATAATAATAATGAAAAATTTCTTTCCTTTTTTCTCTCCTTCTTTTTTTGCTTTTCTACCCAGTTCAGTATCCTCCATTCTACTGAAAATGTTGAAGAATAAAAATGATTTCTTTCCTTGCTATATAATTCATCAAACTGATCATCTCTTTTCTAGATACACTTGAATTGTTCTAAAAAAATTTTATCCAAAAATCGCTGAGCTGATGCTACTACCATTCATGGCTGTTTCTGATGGCTTCCTCGTCATTAAATTGCCATTCCTCTTAGAAGTTAATGGTTGTGTTGTCTTCTCTGATGCTACTATAAATGATCGAGCTTTTACCATAAACTCATAACACTTGTTGCACACGCGCACATTCCCACCTTTGTTTTCATATACCCGAAAAAAGGTACGTTTCGAACAAGAAGAACAAAATATACCGCCACAGTTCCTGGAAACAAATAAAAATCTTTGGTAGACAAGAACTTTAATTACTAGTGTCATAATATATTATAGAATCGAAGCATTCAGTAATTCGTACAGAATCAAAGATGACTAATCCTATTTATTCGCTCTAATTATATGTCACACAGATTAGACATGGAACAAAAAGAAGCAAAAGACTAACCTGCAATGATGCCTTCGATTACTTAGGTAATAAAATGTTCCCTGGCAACTCATGCATTTTTGTGAAGCATCATCCATTAACCATCCTTTCGAACCATACGAAATATCCGCAACATCGTCTTTTTCAACGACCGACATGTTTGAAAGAACTGATTCCACAGAACACGACGGACTGCTGTTCTCACCGAACTTGAATTTAGAGTACTTCAATTTGTTACACTTCTTCACTGACTTAATCAGTCATTGCCAAGGCAGAAAAAGAGAGGGAAAATGAACTGGCTTCAGCCTCAACTTACGATTATTAAATCCGACCCAGGTGACTCGCCACTAATTCCACAACTCACTTTTCGTTTTTCTTCTATTTCCAATTGTCCAAGTCTTTCTTGCAACATATTGATACAATCCTGAACAAATATCGAAACTGTCCATCTCTCATAACTTACAGGATATACTGCAGTGTTGATAACAATTTCAAATTGAATCATTTTTCTTTAAGCTCTATTGAATAACTATTTCAAACAACGTTGAAGGAAAAACTGTGCTTCAACTTACAAAACAAAACAGTAGAAAAACATCAATTTTCATATTTATATTCATACTAAAAAACTCTATTCGTCTTTCATTTTTTTCAATTCAACCACTTTAACTACAATATGCATAATAATGCTCTCTGACAATATCAATATATGGGAAACAAAATACATTAGACAATATTATGTTAAATAGTTCAACAATATTATGTTAAATAGTTCTCATGAGCAACACGAAGAGGAAGACAAAATAGAAACACTGAAAACGGAAATTTCAAAATAAATTCAAATTCTTCTCCTTCACTATCAGCCGTTAACTATCTGCAAAAATGAATAAGAGGACGACGATCGGTCCACTAATCTGAATTCTCAGCTCCGTAATTAATTTCTTCAAACTCGTGAGACCTTCTTCTTATAAATAACTTTCTTATATACGCCTAAGAATAACCATTTAGTTAAAAATAAGAGACAGATATAAGAGACATAATCTCGACAAAGTGAAACAAATAAAGAATGTTAGGAATCACTCACCTGCAATTTCTCAACTTTCTCACGAGTCCTTTCTTCGCGTATTTCCAAAATTTTCGTCAAACCATCACAATCCACTTCCCTCTGTAAAGCAAAAAAAAAAAAAAACATGCAAAGTTCTGCATGGACGATGCAATATTGAATAACAATCGCAGCAAAAATTTTTTGTCAATTTTTTGAAAACACTACTAACTTCGTAAGTCAATCTTGAGTTTACGCTATTTACATTTCATGTCATTGAAAATAAAAGCTTACAGCAATAGCACTGCGATCTCTTTCACGATAAAATGCGAATGACAAGTCATTTTCATCAGGTCGTGCATAATCCGTTTCACTTGAAACGGATGTTCGAGTATTGCTGTTAAGGAATTGAGCATGTGTATTTCCAGCAAAACTGTAAAAGACGATTACATATTCCAGAGATATATTACACATGTGGTTGACTTAAAGAAGTATTTAAGGCAATAGAGATATACCAATTTACATTAATAAACGAAAAATATACCAATATAAGTCAATTTTAGAGATTATATTTAAGTACAAAATTCATCATAATTAAATGACAAAGATATACGTTGTATTTGATGATCCCTGGCATGCACTAGCGTCCGTATTGGAAAGACTTTCAGCAGAATGGGCTCTATTCAAACTTATACGATCAACTTCACTATGCTGACTTGCGCACATCCCTGAGTTTGATAGTGTTTGTTCCTGTGAAACGAGCTATTATTAAATTCATTAGCATATAGATAGCACTGAAAACCAGTTACATTGCACTCAACAAAATATGAAGAAAAAAAGAAAAAAAAAACATACTCATTAATTGAAATATATAAATTTTAATTTTGATTTCTGATAAAAACTGCAAAACTTTTTTATGTATACATAATTGAGATGTCAGCTGTAAAAAAAGAAAAAACATTACATAGTTACAACATACATTAATCAATCTTTCAATTGCAGGTCCAATATAAAGTTGTTTCCAGATGTGAAGATCTTCAACATGTAAAGATGTATGTAATCGCTCATTGCTTTTTCCAGGACTATAAATAACATTTCCATACTCCGGTTTCGATTCATCCAAAAACGTCCAAAGCGAAAGCGTTTCTGCATCGTCCGCACTCTTAGTCCAGTTTTCTTTCTCAGATTGACTATTCCAAAGGAATGTCCCAAATAATCCGGAATAACAATGAAGAGCTAATTTTGTCTGAAAAATATGTCACGGAGCATTCAAAATCAAGAATTGCGAAATGCTTAGCTACAGTTTAAAAAACAAACAAACAAATTTGCCAATCATCATATTACTTTTTCGCAAATGTGGCAATACCACTTATGATCATTTAATTTTATCTGGGGTTTCTCTGAATTTGTACTACCTCAAGAATACGCGCAAAACGTTCTTACCAAATAACTTAAAGTGAACTGAAAGGCATCTGGGAACAATTGATGCAACTGGTGAACACA